TCAGATTCTGATGAGAACATGCATCTTGCTTTTCCATTTCCAGCATTACAGCAGATTCCACCTATTGGCTTTGTGAGTTAGGCATTCACAGCACACAGTGGAAATGCGGAGGGCACAAAAGATGAACACTGGATTTTTTAGTCATAAAGGAAGAAACTGGTTCCCCCCCCCCCCCCAAGCACTCTGTTCCATTTGAGCTCAGGCCAAACAATACACACACTAACTTGCTTCCAGGGTGGGCAAATCTGTCAATTTCCATTTCTCCCCATATCTCCTTGACCAAATCTTTACTTTGTTCTCTCTATTGCTATATTTGTGGTTTACCTTTGGAAAAACAGACACACAGGAAAGCATATTTTTCATGTCCATTTTTCATGTTTGAATGTATCTCTCTTTATACACACCTTTTCTACATGAAGTTCCCCATAATACATGTTGTAAATATATTTCTGTGATACATACATTTTCAAAAAACAAGTGTGACATAGGTCAGTATAGAACAGTGGTTCTCAACCTTCCTAGTGCTGCAACCCCTTAATACAGTTCCTCATATTGTGGTGATCCCCAACCATAAAATTATTTTTATTGCTATGAATTGTAATATAAATGTCTGATATGCAGGATGTATTTTCATTCATTGGACCAAATTTGGCACAAATACCCGATATGCCCAAATTTGAATACTGGTGTGTGTGTGTGTTTGGGGGGGGGGGTGTCAATTTTTGTCATTTGGGAGTTGTAGTTGCTGGGATTTATAGTTCACCTATAATCAAAGAGCATTCCAAACTCCACCAATGATGGAATTGAACCAAACTTGGCACATAGAACTCCCATGAACAACAGAAAATACTGGAAGGGTTTGGTGGGCAGTAACCTTGAGTTTTGGACTTATAGTTCATCTACATCCAGAGAGCATTGTGGACTGAAACAATGATGGATCTGAACCAAACTTGGCACAAATACTCAATATGCACAAATGTGAACACTGGTGGAGTTTGGGGAAAATAGACCTTGGGAGTTGTAGTTGCTGGGATTTATAGTTCACCTATAATCAAAGAGCATTCTGAACCCCACCAATGATAGAATTTGGCCAAACTTCCCACAGAGAACCCCCATGACCAACAGAAAATACTGTGTTTTCTGATGATCTTTGGCAACTCCTCTGACACCCCCTCATGACCGCCCCCCCCCAGGGTCCCTTCCCCCAAGTTGAGAAACTGGTATAGAGGATGTTTCAAAATGATGGACCAAATTTCAAAACAATACATTTCATGATTGCAACATGATGATGATGATGATGATGATTAATTGAAATAGACATACATGTAAGTGTTGGTTGCATACAGTGCAATATTTCCAGCTATTTATGTTCCATAATCATTTCTCAGATAATATCTTTTCTATAAGAGGGCACAGTCTTCTATATTAGTTCAATAGTACATATAAAGGCATCATAGGCTTCAAATTAGTATCCACTTCCTCCTTGTCTACAGTCTTACAGGATCTCCTAGATTAATTTTACATCGAGATGCTGAATCACTGGTAGACAATGGCAACACGTTTTACAATTATACAAAAAGTATAAACAGTTTAATGAGTTATCAAGTTTTACTAGTCATTTTATAAATGCTCTATATGCCCTCCACCTGCTGTAAAAACAACTTGCTGAACTGCAGAACACAAAATAACATATGTTGTAGGGTTGCCATCTTGTGAATGACTGCAGCTGGGGCTGTTTGTGCATTTGGGAGAGGTATCTAGCAGTAATCATTTGAAACTCTACGCACCACCCTTTCAAATGGTAAGAGTTTCATTCATGGGTAGTGCATGGTTGTAGAAATAGAACTATTTAAAATCTGGTCCATCTTTTTGAAACATCCTGTACATGCTTGGACAAATGTTCCAGTATTCATATTCTCCAGCTATCAGGGTTGGACAAAACAAGGCAATTTCTTTTGCTAAAACTCCACTTTATACAGTTGGGGAACTGCTACTTATCTGCATAGAGTTCACATTATCACACTGTGCAGAGATTACAAATAGGTTGATCTCTTTTCATCTGACACTGAGATCTTTCAATCGCAGTAGTTTTTCAACATTAAGCTGTAAAGGAGAATTAAATATGGACAATATTGAGATAACACAAAGGTAAAAACCAAGCCCTAGGACACTGCACCAAAGAAGTAGATACTAGAAATATATTCAATACAAGTTTAATGCAAAATTACCCAATTTTTCATGTTCAAATAAATATTTTATGTTCAAATGAATACATGAACTTCTGAACTTCTGAAATTATGCTTATGTGAAGGAAACATTACCAAATACATACAAACTCTATAACAAAACATTAAAAATGTATTATATTAGTAAAATTGCCTATGTAAATACGTATGCTAGGCAGAGCTGTACAAATCAATGCATGCCACTGTAAAGATATGTATGAATTTTCTACGAGAAACTGAAATTGACCGATTCTTTCATCCACAACAACAAATAAAACAGCAGTATGCTTTTCACTGGACAAAGAGACTTTCAAATCCCTTTAAAGTAAATCTCCTCCATTTTACTGTTTTGAAAATAACAGTAATATGTATTTTCATACAAAATGTGCACACTGACCATCTGTGTTAATAATTGACTTAATGAGGTTCCAACAGGCTCTAGCTGATCCCGAAAAAGTTAATTGAGAGGTTTGTGTTCATAAGCCGCCTTGAAAATCCTAATCATCCATGCCAGAACCACATAGCAAGAACTGATGGATTGATTTTGGTCTCTGTAAATGAAAAAAAAAATCCCCAGAGCTTGGTCTTGGCTGCTTCTCAAAGTACATCTCACTTGGGAGTCTGGCTGTTGAATTCAGACAAAACACCTTGTGTCTGACTATGTTATGCCAAGCAAATAACTTGCCAACTCTCAGGCCTGGTTTACAAATGTTGTTGATACCAAATTTGAAATAATTAGCTCTTTTCAAAAATGACTTCCTTCACACTGTATTTCTTCTGGTCACTTCTGGCCTACAAGAAGCATTGCACTCCTCTCTGCACTCCATATAATAAATTATATCAAGCAAAGGATGGACACTAGAAACAATATCATATGAAAGCTGACTGGCACAACCTGGGGATCACAACCAAATACAGTGAAGACATCTGCCCTTGGGCTTTGCTACTCTGCTGCTGAGTATGCATGCCCAGTATGGAACACATCTCACCATGCTTAAACAGTGGATGTGGCTCTTAATGAAAATGCTAAATCCAATTGCTAGAGCAGATTCATTTAATCAATGGGATTTGCATTGAAAATAACTAGCCATTCTCTAGTTGACTTGATAGCCTCCTATAAGTGAGACAAACAACTGAATTTAGTCTTATAGTTGCAATTGATAGATACATTTATTTATTCAAAACTAAGGTCCACTGAGCTTACTGAGACTTGCTTCCAGAAAAGATGGACACTTTTCTGGGAGTAAACCCCATTACATTTAGTGGATATATCTATCAAGGCGGGGGAAAAGAGGCTGAACAATACAATCTCTTTTGACTAATAGCAACAGGAGTCTTTTGTTTGAAAACAACCAAGATTAGTTTTTATATTAAGGTGTTACAGTGCAATGATGCTATAATAAAATCATGCTGTTTAGAATTGTGAAAATGTCTCTGTGCAGGCTGTTTAGGTAGCAATTACAAAGAGGAATGTGAGGTGTGTTGTTTTTTCTGATTAAATTAACATTACAGTGTTTCAGTATTATAGCAATATGTATCTCATTCATTGTTTAAAGAATTCTAGCAAGAAAATATTTTAGTGTTAAATAAAAGAGCCTTTAAAAGGGGGAGAGGAAAATCACATCTTGCCTATACTGACAGTGTGTTCGGTTGCAATAGCTTCATTTTTCTGATTGAAAATGAAAGTACATAAAGGAGTATCATTAAAGACCTCTATTCTAGGCTTGTGCAATCAGGTTAAACCACAATCCATTTTGGTGTCCCGGATTTCGATGGGGGTCCTGATCCATTTTTTAGGAGCCTCCCAAATTCAGGAGGACAGAAATTCAATCTGGAAGCCAAAAGATTTGTTTTTTACCCGGTCCATTATGGGGAGGACTTCCCAGATTCCCCTTCCCATCATTTTAGGCATTGTTTGTCCTTATATCCTTCATTAAGACCTGGATGAAAGGCATCGAAGTTAAGATACCACTCTTTCTGTGATCCTTTCCCTTTTGTCTGTAGAGAAGACCAGGTGGCTTCTTCTTCTTCTAGTGGCTTCTTCCCTCTCTGCACTCCATGTGTAACTGAAAGCAACTGGTTTTCTACAGCCACTGTTCTGTTGCAGCCAATAAAAAAATGGTGGCAGAGCCCATGCTGTTATGGGCTTCCGAACCAATCAAACAAGCCAAAGGCAAATATCCATAACAAATCCATGCACAAGCCTACTCTATTTTATAAAGATCATGGGTGGATCCGCATTGTACAGTTGTGTTAAGTCCATATCACTTAAACAGCCATGGTCAATTTGTAGTTTGATAAAGTATTTAGAATTATCTAGTCCACTATGTATTTTTGCCCCAGTAACTCACATTTGGGTCTCCACGTGAAACAAAAGTCAACTATTGATTTGCAGATTTTGTATTTCAGGTGCATAATTTAACCAACGACATTATCTTTGTGGGAGAAAACACTCCAAAAGAGTATATTTAGTATATGATCACATGGTACTTTGCTGCATCGAATGAAATGAAAAGAATGGCTCCTGTTTTTTATTTCACAAATTAAAAATAATATTTTTAAAATAATTTTATTGATTTTACTGCAAAAAGATAAAAGAGATGCTCTTGCTTCTGGTTTCGTATTTCCTGACAAATTAAAAGGAATATATGACAGTCTTAAACTTCAAGTAACCATCTCAGGGTGTAAGGTTTTTGTTTCTTAAGAAAATGTACATGGTTTGGCTTAAACACTGGAATATTACTCAAAGACCCAGGTTTGAGTTTGTACTCAACCATGGAAATCCACTGGGTGATCTTGTACAAGCCGTACTCTCAGCCCCAGAGAACTCTGTACCAGGTACATCTCAGGGCCCAAATTTTCAATCAGAAAAAGGGCACCATGAGCCTTAGAGGAGGGTTCACCACATTATAGAGCACTGTAGATGGAAGCTTAGTATCACATAAAAAATTTGAAGGTACACAGCTACAAAAGCTTAGAACCCGACCTGCAGGGTTGATCTTAATAGTTGTACTGAGTACTAGGTGGCAATACTTGGAGCTTGGGTTGTTAAACTGAAAACTGGAGAGGGTAGATATACATTTAATGGTTGTACAGATCGGGGAATTTTAGCCGGTGTTGCTCCACAATCAGGTAAAAAGCAATCCCTGTTGAAATTCCCTTTTCTATGCAACCATTAAAGGTACATAAGTCCCCATCATTCCCCCCCCCCCTCCTTGGAATCATATGAGCTGATTTTGAGAGTAAAATCTCCTATGTCTGCCCCCTCCAAAGAAAGCAATCTGTACTTCACAGCAGCTCCCAATTGCACTGGGATTCATCCTACAATAGCTCAGTTATGAGTTCATATATTTGTTCTTCATTTTTAAAAAAAGGAAAAAGAAATATATTCCAGGCTCTGGTTGAAACATTTCACTCTAAATCCCTTTGTTTTATTTTTAAATCTTTGATACTAAATAAATACTTTACAGAAACAGCAGTTTAGAGTGTGATTGTGCTCACTTGTCACCATCCCTGTTGAATTTGTTCCTGCTTGTTACATAGATTGAAGATGCTATTCTTACCGAGTTCCAATCTTCTCCTCATGAATTGTGCATTGGGTAAGCCAAGAGTAAAATCTTTTGCGTTTCAGGACCCAAAGAAGCACTTTTATTTTAGATTGTTCTCTCTCCAGGAAGTCATTAGATGCAAAAGCAGCACAGGAAACTGCTCACGATGTTCAAACATAAGAATAAAATGTGGAAGTATTCCTTAAATTTAATAAGACTACATGTAGAAAAATCATTTCTAGCTTTGTTGTACATTCCATCGGGTATGTAAAAACATTATACTCCTAATTCTATTATCTGTGTGCTGAATGACTCAATGGTTGAATGTGTCTTTAACGGAAATACTTTTTCTAGCACTCTTTTAAAACATTTGCAAAATTGAGCACCTAGGCCAATTTATGCATAGTACTTTCATGAAAATCGGTAAGTTAGAAGTATATGAATCTGGTTAAGTGTCCCTTTGCTAAAATCTATTGTGCTATTATGCTGTACGTTGCCATTGTAAATCCTTTTTTCCCCTCTACTTAATAAGCTCCTTGTAATGGGTTTACATCCATTATAAAATCACATATACAGACTGATCTAGTCTTTCATGGAAAAGAATATAAAATAATGTGAAAACCGCAAGGAACTTAGTGGCACCTTGAAGACTAAGAAGCTTTATTTGTGTAAACTTTTGCCCTCCTCCTATTTTTATAATCTAAAGGTTGCTGTTGTTGTTTCTTCTTCTCCCATTTTATTTTAAATCAATTTCCTCCGATTTCCATAATAAGAACAAACATCCCTCTTAGTGGTCAACAGCAATTTTAGGTTGGCAAATGGGAGAACGATCTTGTATTCTAATAACCGGTAGTTTCCATGTCTATGTGGCAGTGAATATAGAAAGTTTAGGTATTATTTATTTATTTATTTATTTAATACACTTGTATACCGCTAATATCTCAGCTTAAGTCGGCGACTCATTGCGGTTTACAACAATTAAAAACAATATACAATTTAAAACAACAACACATAGACAATACAAATTATTGGGCCACCAATAATAATACCATGTATCTCGTCACTAAAATCACAGTCCAGAATTCGTCATCCATAATTAACCAGTCCTTAGTCCATAAAATTCGGTGATAACAAACTAACCGAATGCTTGTTTACACAACCATGTTTTTAATCTCTTCCGAAACACCATCAGCGAAGAGGCTGATCGTATCTCTATAGGGAGGGTGTTCCAAAGCCGAGGGGCCACCACAGAAAAGGCCCTGTCTCTCGTTCCCACCAGCCGCACTTGGGAAGCCGGTGGGATAGAGAGCAGGGACTCTCCAGAAGATCTTAGGGTCCTGGTGGGCTGATAGGCTGAGATACGTTCGGATAGATAAGTTGGGCCAGAACCGTTTAGGGCTTTAAAGGCCAAAACCAGCACTTTGAATTGAGCCCGGTAGCATATCGGCAGCCAGTGGAGCTGGTGCAGCAGAGGAGTTGTGTGCTCCCAGCGCCCCGCTCCTGTTAGTACCATGGCTGCCGCCCGTTGGACTAGTTGGAGCTTCCGGGCTGTCTTCAAAGGCAACCCCACGTAGAGAGCGTTGCAGTAATCAAGGCGGGATGTAACCAGAGCGTGGACTACCGTGGCCAAGTCAGACTTCCCAAGGTACGGGCGCAGTTGGCGCACAAGTTTTAACTGTGCGAATGCTCCCCTGGTCACCGCTGAAACCTGGGGTTCCAGGCTCAGCGATGAGTCCAGGATCACACCCAAACTGCGAACATGCGTCTTCAGGGGGAGTGCGACCCCATCCAACACAGGCTGTAACCCTATACCCTGTTCGGCCTTACGACTAACCAGGAGTACCTCTGTCTTGTCTGGATTCAATTTCAATTTGTTCGCCCCCATCCAGACCGTCACAGCGGCCAAGCACCGGTTCAGGACCTCGACAGCCTCCTTAGTAGCAGGTGGAAAGGAGTGACAGAGCTGGACATCATCTGCATACAGATGACATCTCACTCCGAAACTCCGGATGATCTCGCCCAGCGGCTTCATGTAGATGTTAAACAACATGGGAGACAGTATTGAACCCTGAGGAACCCCACAAACAAAGGTTGTGGGGTTGAACAGGAGTCTCCCAGTAACACCTTCTGAGACCGACCCTCGAGGAATGAGTGGAGCCACTGCAGAACAGTACCTCCCAGACCCATCCCCGCGAGGCGTCCCAGAAGGATACCGTGGTCGACGGTATCGAAAGCCGCTGAGAGGTCGAGCAGCACCAACAGGGACACACTCCCCCTGTCGAGCTCCCGACGCAGATCATCCACTAAGGCGACCAAGGCTGTCTCAGTACCATGCCCCGGCCTAAAGCCAGACTGTGCCGGATCCAGATAATCCGTGTCTACCAAGAATGCCTGGAGTTGTGAGGCCACCACACGTTCCATGACTTTGCCCAAAAAGGGGAGATTGGAAACAGGCCGATAGTTGACGAATTGAGTGGGGTCCAGTGATGGTTTCTTCAACAGCGGTTTTATCACAGCTTGCTTTAAGCTGGCTGGAATTTTGCCCTCCCGAAGGGAGGCATTAACCACCACCTTCACCCACTCGGCCAATCCCCCTCTGGCCTCCTTTAGAAGCCAGGATGGGCAGGGGTCTAGGATGCATGTGGTAGCTCTCATTCCTCCAAGCACCTTGTCCACATCCTCGGATTGAACCAATTGAAATGAATCCATCAAAACCGGACAAGCAGATGCTCGTGTTACATCCTCAGATACTGCCGTTAATATGGTGTCCAGTCCAGAGCGGATCAAAGCGACTTTGTCTGCGAAGAACTGAGCAAAAGCTTCACAGCGAGCTGCCGAGTCCTCAGGGCACCCGTCCTGAGTGGAGGGTTTTAATAAGCCTCTGACAACTCGGAACAGTTCAGCCGGACGGTTTTTTGCAGACGCAATAGTGGCCGCAAAGAAAGTTTTCTTTGCGGCCTTTATTGCCGCGGCATATGCCCTTAAAAAGGACACAAACCGTGTTCGATTTGGCTCGCCCGGATTCGAACGCCACACGCTCTCTAGTTCCCTCTTCTTTCGCTTCAACGCTGCCAGCTCCTCGGTAAACCAAGGAGCTGGTTTAGCTCGGCTACTTGAGAGGGGACGTTCTGGAGCGATCGTGTCTATTGCCCTAGTCATCTCCCCATTCCAGAGAGCGACCAGAGCATCAACAGGATCACCAACCGAGGTGGCGGGAAATTCCCCAAGAGCCATCAGGAATCCATCCGGATCCATAAGCCTCCTGGGGCGGACCAATTTAATGGGTCCTCCACCTCTGCGGAGGTTGGGGGTGCAGTGAGTCTAAAGCTGACCAGGTGGTGGTCGGTCCATGGCAACGGAGAGATGGATAACTCCTCAACACCGCCACCTTCCTCCCATCCCTGACAGAAAACCAAGTCCAATGTATGTCCAGCACTGTGGGTGGGGCCAGATACCTGTTGGGACAGCCCCATGGTTGCCATGGTAGACATGAAGTCCTGAGCCGCTCCCGATAGGGCGACCTCGGCATGGACATTGAAGTCCCCCAGCACAAGCAGCCGTTGGGACTCCAACGCCAGGTCCGAGACCACCCCCGCTAGCTCAGTCAGGGAGTCAGTAGTGCAGCGAGGTGGACGGTACACTAACAGAATCCTAATCTGTCCCGGTCACCCACCCTCAGGTGGACGCATTCAAAATTTGTTGACTGCGGGATGGGGGCCCTGGTCAGAAGAATGGAATCTCTGTAGACCACTGCAACTCCGCCTCCCCGCCCTCCGGATCTCGGCTGGTGCTGCACAGAGAAGCCTGGTGGGCAAAGCTGGGTTAAATTTACACCTCCCGCTTCGTCCAACCAGGTCTCTGTGATGCACGCCAGATCTGCCCGTTCATCCAGGATTAAATCCTGGATGAAAGTTGTTTTACCGTTGACAGATCTGGCGTTCAACAGCACCACTTTCAATCCGGAGGGACCGCCATCCTGGTTACACCAACTTGTCATATCAGGAGACCGCTTTGGAATTACTAACGTTGTTCCCCGCCCCCGTTCCCTAGGTCGAATTAAAGGTCTCCCTTTCCCGTATCTCCCCCTCCCCACCACGACTTCTATGGGGGCTCCCCGGTTAGCGGAACCCTCTCCCTCCTCCATGACGCATTGAATGGCCACAGTATCAACAAACAATTCATTATTAACTATATGATATGTTGTGGCTTCAGATTGCCATAGTCCTACCTTCCATCCACTTTCCACTCCTGCTTTGTTAAACTCAGATCTTACAGATCTATTCCGTTCCC